TTCCACATATTTCATAATATTTCCACAATGTCTCTAATTTTTACAATATTTCCCCTCGACATTTCCGACATATGTCCTATATTTTGGTAAGCGACATTTCCATCGACATCGACATTTTAAACCTTGATTTAGAGGACTATGATAATATAAAATATATAACTAAGAAATAAAATCTTTACCATGTTTTTTACAGTAATGACCACCACAAACCAACCTCTTCTCAGAATGATTAAAGGCAATAAATTGGACAAAGATATCATAGACAAGCCCACAAATTTACTAGTTATTCTATGTCAGCTGGAGTTCCTTTATATAAATGGTGGATTAATTGTTTTTTCCTGAGTTTTGTATACCTTTGATCTAACTGGAACTGTGGGGAGAACAGCAATGGGCTGGCTCTATTGTAAAGAAGTGAACTAGGAAGTTCACATTCTATATAGTAATAGATTTCTCATACTATCAATAAAACAACCATGCGTTACTGATAAAAAATTAAATAAATGAGAGATTGTTGATCCCTCCATTATGAAGAAGGTTAATGGATCCGGTCGGAGCAAGGAGGCTAGTGGACAGATGCTGAAAGGCACCAAATAAGACAAGGACAAAAAAACCCAGAGAAAAGGCTTGGAAGAGAGTCCAATGCAACAGGTGATTTATCAATGTTTTAATGATTTTCTTGGTTCTGGGAAGAAAACAATTCGAAACAGAGATAGATACATTGCAGAAATGTCTAGCAGGTTACTGTATTTTTACTTTCTTAAAATACTTTTTTTTCACATTTATAGAACTGAGAAGAGTGTGGCATCACAATTTTTCACAGATGTAGCTAACCATGATTTTTTGATTGGTAGATTTAGTTAACCATGTTATGCATATATACAATTTTCTCGTATAGCCGACAGTATACAATGAACTTTTAATTTCAGGAATCATGATCAATTTGAAAAAAAAAATGTAACAAAAAGTGGATGATTTTCTTGCAAAAGATGAACCTAGAACAAAGTCAAGAAACGCATTACCAAAAATGTTAGAAGACTTTGTGCACTATACTCATGAAATGTTTTTGCACTAAATAAATTCCGTATCGCATCATCCTGCAGTGATGAATAGATACTTTTATCAAATGAGCAGAAACCACAAAAGGAGGAAAAAGAGAAAGACAAGTATAATAGTTGAGATAAAAGCTGTACCTGAGTATTGAAAAAAATGGTTGCCAGATCATTGTACTCGTTCTCCTTTTTACAGTAAAACTGAAGATAGCATTAAAAAAAAGAAATATTATGACTGAACTTAAGGTACAATACAAGCAAATTTAGTAACATTATTACAGCAGATATACAGACTTGATTGATCAATTCAGAAATATAGAAATTTAGTGTGATAGATTAGAGAAGGATGAGAGAAAAGAAAGAAATTTTGAGACAAGAAAAAAATAAACATGAGAATAAAATTATACAACCTCTCTCCAGTATTTATATTATAATGAAAAAGACCTGAATACCCCTGGTCATGTATTCCTATAATAAGTCTTATAACAATGAAAATATAAGACCCATAATAATGAAAACAAAAACAGACTAACACTTGAAAACAAAAAACAATATTTCAGCACATTGTAAATATCTTGTGTATGTTAAAGTATGGAACAGCCCTTCCAAATTTAACAAGATCTAATAGCATCAATTCCTCATCCTATATACCAGGCATGAAAATGTCCACATTAAGAACATAGTTGATATCTGATACAATCATTCGGACTTAAAACTTGCAAGAAAATTTCCACTAGCAGTTCTGAAATGCATCATTTCCAGGCATGCTTCCATGATTATATACAAGAATTTTGCAGAATCATTAGATGCAAGATTTAATCTTTTGCACAAATAACATAGGTAGATACTGAATAGAGATGAAGTGGCACATTATATGAACAAATGAGGAACACCAAGCCTATACTTAGTCATCAGATAATCCATAAGGAAAAAGTAATGCCCTAGGTAGGAGCTTACATTTACATAATTTCCATACATTCCCGGTGGGCGAGGGCATTCTATAGAAGAATTAGCTTCTGATTCCGGGCATGGACTGCATTTTCTTAGAAGTGGCAATCCAAAGGAGATGGATGAGGTTATCAAAGAGATTAGACATATTTCAATAATCTGCAATGGTGAGAGAGAAATAATAGAATAAAAGTATGACAGATGGATGGCATTGCAAATACAGGTCTAATCCCAAAGAAAAAATATGAGTTGCTTCATGATGGCCTACCTTGACTCTGTTCCCCATTTTGTGTAAATATTTACGGCGCCAGTAAGTTATGTAAAGAGTTAGCTGATTAAATAAGGCTCCTGAAAGGATATCAATGGATAATCAACAAATAATAGGTGGATATCCACATGTAAACTGTGATAAAAAAACTAAGTCCAAAAAACACCTACCAAGAAGACCTCCTATGACTCCAATGACAGCCATTGGCAATAATTCCTCAAACGAATAGTCATCTTGACCACTAATAAAAGAACATTGCTAATCAGAAAAGATATATAAAGGAAAGGCCGGATGTAGACATTTCCCAAGACAGAGAGTCTAACCCTGATATGTCCCAAATTATAAAGCCACCTGAACCAAAATGCCCACACTTCCCACTCTTACACCAGCCCATTGCAGAACGCACCACAACAGCCACAACAGCAGATGTGAAAAATACACGCCACATAAGTTGACTCCTCCACCTTCAACATAAAATTAAATAAAACATAAGTAAAAAACAAAAACAAAACACATTCATCAAAAAAAGCAAAAACAGAACATTAAAAAGCTTTGTATATGCATGTATATGTAAAATGATATATGCATATAATCAAGAGACAAAAAACCCTGTACCAAGATGTGACCTCTTCTAAGGCAAACAATACACCACCAACTGGAGCTCTAAATGCAGCAGCAACTCCAGCCGCACATCCACAGGTAACCTTTCAAAACATGAAAAACTAGAGAAAATGAGCACAATTTATATAATAGCATTTCAGGTTATCAAAGTATGAGACAAGGCAATGCTGGACATGTCTAGAGCCACTCCTGAGAAATAAAATATACCAATTTTTTATTGTTAACTAATCATCTTTACTGAATTATATAAAGAATGATATTTACAGATAAATTGATCTAGTCCAGCTACCTAACCCCATGTACATTATATGTTTACAAAACCTGTGAACCAGAGCATTTGGGAAGTAGCAACAAGGGGAAGGACAATATCTCCATATACTAAAAAAGCTAGAACATTTCAAATAAAATCTAATACAGAATATATTACTTACAAGATCTCGACGATCTCGATCACTTTTAAATACTTGCAACCACCTTGAATTCAGATGATACTTTGTAGTTCCACCCTGAGTTAGTTTACAGCTTAAAAGGTAAACATAAGATTGTAGAACAGATTGTGTAAATGTATATAACATTAACCAGAAAGGCAAGTGCAAGTAAATGTATAAGCAAAAGAGAGCAACAATATAACTTCCTTGTATGAAAATATATGCATCAGATTATTTGGATGAACTCCATATTTCAAAATATTGGGATCATATATGCATGATAAGTAATAGGAGAGGGACATGAAGCATAAAGAAGAATTTCACAGTTCAATACTTCTATGATATGACTACTTTTGAATCCTATTCCACTTCAACCATTCTGAGACCCAATTTTTTGCTAAATGGAAACCTTGCAGCAGAACCAGTGGTTCAGCCTTCAAAGAGTTCCCCAAACCAATTGATCTTGAAAACATAAGCACATAGCCAATATCATCTTCTCAGAGTTTCTGATTACCACTCCTATACCTGCCATGCCCGGGTTTCCAAGGGAGCTCCCATCAAAATTCAAATTAGCTTTGTTACCTTGTGTGGGTTTCCACTCCAATCTTAATCTATCTTTTGCTCTCGAGGACTGTGCTACTTCTGCCCAAGCTCTTAAAATGTCAGTGACTGAGAAGCTTTAAAAGGAACCCAAGGTCTTTACCAAAGGGCTACCTTTACTTTCATGCTGTCTATCACTTCTCAGGTTAGGAAGTTGTTAAAATTTCAAAGGGCCTGGATCAAAAGCCTAGGCCCGGAACAGTGTAAATTCTTCAAATGTGGTACCAAACTTGCACAGTTGCACCCCTACTGCAAGTCACATCTTTCACTTGAAACTCAAAGGATTGAAACAAAAAATTAAGACAGAGAGCAGGAAAATCTTTAAGGGGGTGGAGATCAAAAAAGCTGAATACTTGCAGCAGATTTTATATCTTGACAATGAGGAAGAAAGAGGTCCCTTGAGTGAAGAAGGCAGGAATAAGAGAGTAGAAGCCAAGATGAACTTTGACAGACTTTCGGTTCAAGAGGAAGTGAAATTGAGGCAAGATCAAGAAACCTTTGGCTAAAAGGAGACAACAATACTGACTTCTTTCATAAAATGGGAACATGCGGAGGTAAGTAAATAGTATAAACTTGCTGGAAGAAAATGAAGAGGTGCTAGAGGACGAAGGAAAGATCAAAGGAGTTATTGTGGCTTATTATATAAACCTTTACAAGAAGCAGTGGAAAAGAAAGGTGAGGTTGGATGGGCCGGGCATAAACAGATTACAAGATGAGGATGCAGCAAATCTGGGAAAAAAACTTGTACAGAAGAGGAAGTTAGGGAAGCTGTCTTTCAAGTGGAAGGGGATAAAGTTCCAAGCCCAGATGACTTTACAATGAAAATTTATGAATTGGGTCGTCATTTCCTAAAGCAAGATCTGATGGTCTTTGAAGAATTCCATACCAATGCTGCTCTTGAAAGATGTCTCAATTCAACCTTCATCATCTTGATTACTAAGAAGGGAGGTTCTTGTCAACTTAAAGACTTCAGACCTATCAGCTTATTGGGTAGTTCCCTACAACACCATTGCAAGGTGTTGACTACAAGATTGAAAAAAAAAAAAAAAATGATGGGTCAGATTATATCTTCCTCTCAAGTGGCTTTTGTGGAGGGGAGGAAAATATTAGATGGGATCCCCATTGCTAATGAGTTGCTCGATTCAACGAAAAAGGTAGAAATGGGATAACTCAAGGCTGACCTATGCCTTTGATCATGTCAGTTGGAGCTTCCTTGATTACAAGCTGGCTAGAATGAATTTTATATCCAAATGGAGGAACTGGATCAAGGAATGTGTTACTGTTACCACACCCACCTTTTCCATCCTTTATAATAGAGTATCTTGTGGGAAGTTTAAGAGCTTAAGGGGTCTAAGAAAGGACACTGTCTCCATTTCTCTTCAAGGCCTTGAGTAAACTCACAAATAGGGCAGTTGAAGGATACATTCAAGGTTTTAAAGCTAGTGTTAATATGGAGCAAATCCCCTTCTTCAATTTGCAGATGATACCATTTTCTTCTGTGATACTTCAGCTAACCAACTGGTTTATCTAGACCATTATTAAGGTGGTCTGAGGCAATTTCAGGCCTCAAAATTAATCTATCAAGGAGTGGATAGATGCTGACAGGGGAAGATGACATAGCTGAACAGTTGACTGATATTTTGGGTTGTAAAACTGGGAAGTTACCCACCACCTATCTCAGCTTACTTCATGGAGCAAAAAGCAACTCCAAGAGAATTTGGGATGCAGTCACTGAAAGGTTTGACAAGAAGCTGGCTATGCGGAAATCAAATATTTATCAAAGGGTGGCAATCTCACTTTGATTAAAAGTTTTTTGTCCCCCAATCTACTAAAGAAGTTAGAGAAGAAAAGGAGAACATTCCTATGAGCTGGATGGAGAAACAGTTTTTTAAGTTTCATTTAGTGAACTGGAAACTGTATTCCAACCCAGAAAATTTGGGGGCATTGGCATCAGAAAATTTAACATTTTTCTTCTTGGAAAATGTGTTGGATGTTCAACCAGGAGCAGGGAAGCATGCAGAGAAGAATTAAGGCAGCAAAATATGGGCTCACAAACCATAGATGGGATTCGGGGCCTAAATTCTCCCAAATAGGATGTGCAGTCTGGAACAACATTCAAAAAGTTCTCCCTGATTTCCTAAAAGGTTACATGGTTGGCAAAGGAAATCAGATCAGATTCTGGTAGGACAACTGGTGTGGAGATTTTCCATTGAGAGAAAGATTCCCTTCCCTCTGATATAGCCCAAGATAAAGAGGCTTCAATTGAGGATTGTTTTGATCAAGTGAATGATAATGTAATATGGGACCCCACCTTCAGAAGAAATCTTAATGACTGGGAAGTCAGTCTATTGGCTGATATGTCAAGTCTCATTCAGGGAATAAGGCCTAATACCCAGGTGAATGATGAAAGATTGTGGTCTTGGGGAAGATCATATGAGTTTTCAGTCCATTCATTCTATGGTAGCCTCTCTCTCATTAAGGAAAATGCTTTTTCTTGGGCCAAAATTTGGTGCTCCCACATTCCACTGAAAATAGCTTCCTTCTTTGGACAGCCACCCATGGGAGATGCCTAACTACAGACAGGTTGATGATGAGAGATTTGCCCCTTTCCTGTACTCTCTGCTCTTTATGTCATGAAGTTGTAGAGTCCTCAAATCATCTCTTCCTCCACTGCAAATATTCATACCAGCGATGGGCAATGGCAATTTCCTGCTTTGGCTTTCATTTCTGTTTTCCGGATCCGGAATCAATATTGCAGCTTCTGCAAGGTTGGACAGTTAAAAGACTGAACAGGAGGGGCAAAATATTATGGAATACTTTTATGGCTGCCATCATCTGGTCAATTTGGAAGGAAAGATGTCATCAGGTTTTTTACAACAAATTCACTGATTTGGGGAAATCAAAAGAAACCTTATAGGCCTGCTTGTTCTTGGTTGGCTGTATAAAGAATATTTCATCAGGTTTTTTACAACAAATTCACTGATTTGGGGAAATCAAAAGAAACCTTATAGGCCTGCTTGTTCTTGGTTGGCTGTATAAAGAATATTTCAGGGTGTCCAGCTAATCTCTTTTTTTGCAAGCTGGACCTTTTTATGGTTGAATCTTATTTTTTGTATATTTCCAATCTATAGGTACTCATTGTACATGGTCTGATGTGTATTTCCTTTTGCATAGCTTTATCAATACAATACTTTACCTTTTTCAAAAACGACAACAAGAACTTTGACACAAGAGCTATTGTTAAAATGAGAAATCATGAAATGAGTTTTTTTTTAAGAAAGATAACTTTGTATTAAAGACAAAAATGTCTGATCAGTGCTAGAATACAGTTGAACTTTAGAACAGCATATCCTTACTTGTCCAAGAAGAGAAGCAATGCAAGCGCCAGTGTGAACAAGAGGGCCTTCTTTGCCAAGGGCAAGCCCTCCTCCCACTGAACCAATGCTTCCAAATATCTGTAAAACAAAAGAGGAAAAAAAACTGATGCCAAGAAATGATAAATCTTTCAATACAATAGAGCAGAAAGATGGAAATAACAACCAGACCTTTCCAATCAAGGTTCTGAAAAGAAGGATACCATGTGTATCAATTCCTGCACATTTATATGACAATCACTATTCTTTCAAAATATAATAATAATTTTTAAATATGCCTGATCAAAAAGTACAGCTTACCGTTCAAATAACCCTTAATTTCAGGAATACCCGATCCTGCTGCTGCTGGTGCAAATTGTGTGACAATAAATACAGAAGAAAAGACTAAAGCCAAATTGATTAATATGTACACCACAAATCCAGCAAAGTATGAACTTTGTATTATAGAAAACGTTACTGCAAACTTCCACCCAGCAAAGTTTTCAACAGCAAGATTAATAAAAACAGCAGCTGATCCAGTGCCTGAAAGTAACCAAGAGCAGGTTTCACATATGTTTTAATAACCAGCTAAAATCCAGTATGGTAGCAGAAAGGAAGTGCAAATTTTGAATACAACAACCAAAACATTTGAAATTTTTGGCTTTTCCATCAGTGAACAAATCTTAAGCACAGTTTAATGGCTTCATGACAGCCTCATATCCAGTAACTTTTCATTCTAAAATATTGCCTTGCCTTCCATAAATAACAAGAAAGCAGAACACTCTTTGAAAATCTAATAACATACTTAGAACATAGAAGCATGGAAAGTAACTATTCTTCATATTTTCAACTCAAGTTCCCCCCAGACTGAATCACCTCTCCCAAAATAAAAAGAAATACACAGAAAATAAAGGAAGAACTCTGTGGATCTACCAAAGATAGGAAGTGGATGCAGGAACTCATGCTCTCTTCCTTTACTTAAACTTGCAGAAGAAAAAATTCAAGAACTTCTACAAGTGATAGGTAGAAGCAATAAGTCAGTCGAAGCCAGACTCCTGCTCTCTGCCAAAGAATTTACCTTTTCAGTTCTCATTTTAATAAAGTTATTCTTTAGAAAAATAATAAATTTGAAAAATTATCCATCTAAATGGGAAAAGGGACCAAAAAAATTAGTTTCCAGCAAATCATTCTAAGAGAACTGAATACAAAATCATTCTTTCTTAACAAGTTAATTTATAGTTTAACTTTGCTACTAGATTCCCCAGAAGCTATCCAATGAGTTAAACCCAGACATACCAGTCTCTGTTTACACTTCCATTATGGGAAATTGGAGTGGCAACGAGCCGAGCTTTTCACGAGTTGCTCGAGCTCGAGCCCAATTCAGTGGCTCGATTATTAAACGAGCTGAGCTCAAGCCTACTAGAGTTCGGCTCGTCAGGCTCGCAAGCCGGCTCGAATATATATATATATATATAATAAAATTATAGAAAATAATATATATAATAAAAATATTATAATTATTAATTATTATAATTCTTAATTTTTTAAATAAAAAAAATTATATATAATTTTTATTTTTATAAAATATAAAACGAGCCGAGCCGAGCTCGAGCCTTGTAGAATAGTCTCAAGCCGAGCTTGAGCCTGGTACTATTCAGCTCGGCTCGGCTCGAATCCACCCCTACTGGGAAAAAAGAGGTCTCCATATCAATTGGAGCCTGGACACCTTTTCAAGTAGGCTCAAGTAGGCCTGAACCTCTTGATTTCTTTCTCATTAAGTATTCCTTGGCCTGGACACCTTTTCAAGTAGGCTAAAATCCTCTTAACAACAAAGTGTGAGGTCTTTGGAGAGTGCATGTACTGACTAACACTGACAACATAAGAAATGTCAAGGCAAGTCAGACATAGGTAGAGAAGTCTTCCTATAAGCCGTTGACAAATACCTTTATCTTCAAGAGGCTCACCATCCTCTACATTTATTTTGTGATTTTGCTCAATGGGTGTGTCTGCAAGCTTAGCTCCCAATTTTCTTGTTTCTTCCAAAAGATCAAGAACATACTTCCTCTAGGAAATAAAACTGCCATGCTTAGACCTTGCCACTTCAATCCCAAGGAAATACCTCAACTCACCCAAATCCTTTACTTCAAATTCTTGATTAAACAGTTGCTTAAGAGAATCAATTTCATCAATATCACTTCCTGTTACAACAATGTCATCGACATACACAGCTAGGAGAGTCAAAGCAGATCCTTTCTTCTTAATGAAAAGAGTATGGACAGATTGGGCTTGAACATAGCCAAATCTTTCCAAAGCAAGTCTAGATCTATCAAACCATGCCCTTGGAGATTGTTTTAAACCATACAAAGCTTTCTTCAACTTAAAAACTTTCTTACCAATCTCTGCATCATAAAAACTAGGAGGCAACTCCATATACACCTCCTCCTGCAAGTCACCATTTACAAATGCATTCTTAACATCCATCTAAAACAATGGCCAAGAGAAGTTAGCAGCAAGAGACAACAAAACCCTGATGGTGTTCATTTTTGCAACTGGTGCAAAGGTTTCCAAGTAATCAATACCATAAGTTTGAGTGTATCCCTTAGCAACCAGACTAGCTTTATATCTTTCAATTGTACCATCGGCATTATACTTCACTATGAATATCTAACTACACCCAACATGTTTCTTCCCTCTTGGTTGATCAACTAGTTCCCAAGTATCATTTTTCAGAAGGGCATCCATCTCAACCTTCATTGCTTCCTTCCACTCAGGGACAACAAGGACTTCTTGCACTGTTCTAGGAATAGGAAGGACAGCAATGGAGGCAAAATAAGACTTATATGATGATGAAAGGTGGTCATAAGAAAGGAAATGAAAGATACAATGGGCAGTGGATGAGGTACATCGACGCTTCCCCTTACGTGTTGCAATTAGAAGATCAAGGTCATCTGAGGATGGTTGAGGCTCAGTAATGGAAGTGGGTATGTCACCAGTAGTAGGAGTAGGTAAGGAGGAGACTATACCTGAATCTGGTGCCGCAGAAGAGACATGAACTAGCCTGGATTGATCATTATTGGAACCAACTTGCCTCCACCATCTTCTATGAAACACCCTTAATTATTTACACTTTTGACAACTCCCCTTGTTACACTCCCCTCCACTCACAGGAATAGGTAAAGGAACATCTTGAGCAAAAGTACCCTGCTCACCACTCTCCCCCCTGAGGTGGAACTCTAGGGTAATAGGGGGCATCTTCAAAGAAGGTGACATCCACAGATACAAATCCGGTTCTCGAGACAGGGTTATAATAGTAATACCCCTTTTGATTGTGTGCATACCCAAGGAAGATACATTTGGCAGCCTTAGGGTCAAATTTTAAACGGGTAGGCCCAAGAATTTGGACAAAACATGTGCAACCAAAAGTTTTGGAAAGAATAGAAAACTACTCCTTATCAGGATACAACAAGTTAAACGGAGGTTTATGTCCAAGACTCGTGAAGGAATCCTGTTAATGAGATAAACAGCAATAAGAATGGCATCCCCCCAGAAACGTATAGGAACATTAGAATTCAGCATGATGCTTCTTGCAACTTCAAGGATGTGCCTATTTTTCCTCTCAGCTACCCCATTCTGCTGAGGTGCATGCAGAGAAGTGCTCTGATGAATAACTTCATGTTCAAGGAGATAAGAAGACAAGGGTTTTGCAAAATCTTCTTTGACATTATCAGATCTGAGATTTTTTATTTTAATCCCAAAATGAGTCGGGATCATTTAATGAAAAACACGGGTCAAAGTGGGAACCTCATCCCGAGATCGCATGAGGTAAACCCATGAAAACCAAGAGTAGTCATCAACAAACAATAGAAAGTATTTGCACCCACCCATAGAAGGAATATGATAGGGCCCCCAAACATCGACATGCACAATTTCAAAAGGAAAAGAACTTCTTTTATTACTTAGTGAATAAGTTGATCTATAATGCTTTGCCAACTCACAGCTAGACCTGTTCATGGGCCGGGCCGGGCTTTTACTATGTATTAACAAATTTTTTTAAGGCCCGAGCCCGAGCCCGGCCCGACCATCGGGCCTACAACTTGGGCCCGAGCCCGGCCCTCATAAAAAGCCCGAAGCCCGAGCCTGGGCCCGGGCCCG